TCTCTCTCTCTCTCTCTCTCTCTCTCTCTCTCTCTCTCTCTCTCTCTGTCTCTCTCTGTGTCTCTCTCTCTGTCTCTCTGTCTCTGTCTCTCTCTGTCTCTCTCTCTCTCTCTCTGTCTCTCTCTCTCTGTCTCTCTGTCTCTCTCTCTGTCTCTGTCTCTCTGTCTCTCTCTGTCTCTGTCTCTCTCTGTCTCTCTCTCTGTCTCTGTCTCTCTCTGTCTCTCTCTCTGTCTCTCTCTCTGTCTCTCTGTCTCTCTCTGTCTCTGTCTCTCTCTCTGTCTCTCTCTCTGTCTCTGTCTCTCTCTGTCTCCGTCTCTGTCTGTCTCTCTCTCTCTCTCTCTCTCTCTCTCTCTCTCTCTGGTCATGTTATTTTTTATAATTTTTACGTTAGCGTTGCTGTATTCTCACCAGTGGTCTGAATCTGTTTTTAGTGCTTTCTGAATGTTCTGTCAGTACTTTTTTTTTGATGGAGGTTTAAAGAAAGTGTAACATGTCAATAAACTGTGAACCAGTTCATGTGTTTGTCTACATGTTAGACTTTTAGCGGTGCAACCAAACACCCTAAAACACCACACACACACATACATTTAAATCCTTTAAATGTCTTTATTTTAATATTGAGCTGTTACAGGTAAACTGGTGTTACACGTATTTAACTGTATTAATCACTAACTCTTGATACCAAACATTCAAAGTCATTGATTAGCGATTAGCTTCCGTTAGCCACAGGGCCGCTGTGGATCCTGGTGGTCGATGGGGAAGTAGTAGAACGGGACCTGGGGGGGGCAGGGGTGCCCGTGGGAGGAGTTACGGGGGGGCGCCGGGTTACCGTCGTCGTGGTGGTGACAGCCGACGGTGAGGTTGTGAGACAGAGGAATCTTGACCTGGAACCACACCTCTCTGTCCTGAAGGGGGAGGAGTCAGATGAAACCCAACTGGTAGGATGCCAACACTCTATTCATCAGGGCCCGAGCACCGACGTAGTCGGAGCGGAGGACCTGTTATTCTAATGTTCATTATTAGGTGCTTGGGATACTGGGGATTAATTTAAATTTGGCATGCAAGCCAGTTTTTGCGAAAATTGCAGTGTGATTGGGGTGGCCAGCTGCGGTATGAAATATTGTCTCGATAGCGCCCCCTATGGAGTAGCCCCAACATTGGGTTTCACCTAGCTGTATGACATTTGGTAGGTATGTGGAACGTGATGGGATGCACAAAAAATCCTCTTGGAGTTTGTGGTGAAGTGTTTAAAGGTTCTAATCTCACACTCCAGAGCCTCACAGCCTCTCTGTATTTTATTAGGTGTTGTTTGGATGTCAGTATCTCAGAGGTATTCATTTAACTGTGATATAAAATACAGAGAATTCTCACATTTAAAGACGATTGTACCAGTGGAGCTGCAGCATATAAATACCTGAAATGTTATTGAAATAGTTTATTTCAGCAGTGCAGACAAGAATCAGACGGGACTCGAGGACAGAGGAACGTTTAGATGAAGACAGAAGATCTGACCTTTTCGTCTGTAATGCACTGGATCTCATGTTTGTCTCCCAGATGTGGAGCCAGAACCTGATGAACCTCCACAAGCTACGAAAACACAGGAAGCAAAGTATCGTGTGAGGAAGCACACAGCAGGAGCTCCTGATGTACTGATGAGTACAAACACACACACATCTGAGGATCAGTGCAGCAACATCTGTAACCACAAACATGCAGTCAATGCACCGCATGTGATGAGAACCTGGAGATAAATAGATGATAATATTAGACAGGGTGTCAGCTGGGTCGTTAAATCTATTTAAACTTTATGGATCAATTTAGCAACAATTTAAAAGTCCTTAAAAATTCAGGATCTTGTTTTTAATATGTATACTTGTGATTAAATGTAATGGAAAAAGAAATGTCATTTAAAGTCGAGGTTAGGGTTGGTGTGGTGTTTAAAAATGTTTTAAAGAAATTCATAGTATAGTTATTAAAATATTGTAAAAAGTATTGTTGAGAAGGCGTATTGATGGCGGCTGCAGCGGGTGATGAAGGCGTATTGATGGCGGGTGATGAAGGCGTATTGATGGCGGGTGATGAAGGCGTATTGATGGCGGGTGATGATGGCGTATTGATGGCGGGTGATGAAGGCGTATTGATGGCGGGTGATGAAGGCGTATTGATGGCGGGCGATGAAGGCGTGTTGATGGCGGGCGATGAAGGCGTGTTGATGGCGGGCGATGAAGGCGTGTTGATGGCGGCTGCGGCGGGCGATGAAGGCGTGTTGATGGCGGCTTCCTTCATAAAGAGTCAAGATGGCAACGACTTCCCATCAGGCCACATGAGCACACTCTAGCACAGGTTGAATGTAGCGTGGTACTGATGGTGTCGTCCTGTTGGAAGTAGTAGGCGTGGGCTGACTATTGTGTTTACCTTGATTCCTCCTGTGTTTAAGTTAGGGAGGTTAGTGGTTATATTTTGGGTTTCTTTAATTTAGATTCATTTTTCTTTAAGATTAGAGGTGCATCACTTTGTTTTGTGGCCATTGGATCGCCCCGAGTTCTGACATTGATCCAGTATGTTCATCATAATGTAAATAAATCTGTTTGTACACTCAGTGATCGGTCTCTCTGGTTGTTTGGGACTTGGTTCATGTTGGTTCATGGTAACCTTTGGTATAACCATAGTATGAATGTAAATCTAAGAAATGTCATAGTACAGTATTTAATTGAAGAAGGGTTGAAGAAAGTCATAATATAGTCGGCCATTAACTGTAAAAACAATCCATATGTCAAAAGTCATAAAGTCATGATCTAGTATGGCATAAAACAAATTACAATAAAGATTCAGTCTAGTTTGTCATAAAGAATGTCTTCATCATGTCAGTTGTTACCTTATATGGTCGTTCACAGGACGGAATGATACCAGCGTCCTCCAGCAACCTGCAGAGAAGAGAACAGTTTACTGTGACGTCATCGTCTTTCTGCAGATCCACTGAGTTCACATCGTCGGCTTGCGTGCGTGCGCACTAACCTTTGGATATCAAACTGTCCTCGTAGTTTGAGGCAGATCTGGAAGTATCTGAGTGGAGAGTTCATCCCTTCAACACACGCTGCACACACTCCGTGTTTCTCCCACTCTTGTCTCCTGTCACACACACACACACACACACACACACACACACACACACACACACTGACAGATGAACGCTGATGAAAACACATCAATGCATGTTAACATTAATTATTCTCTCCGTTCATCGATCGCTCTGTAAATGTCAACAAACTGTTACAAACACATCGTCTCATTAAAATGTTTTTTGTTTTGTCGGTTATGACAGAAATACTTATGTGCAGTATAAAGTACAATATGTATCTCTGAGGTGTAGTGGAGTGTAAGTATAAAGTAGCAGTAGAATAGAACTACTAAAGTAAAGTAACTTGAGTTTGTATACATAAGAGCAGTGCTAGAGTAAATGTACATTGTACTGATGTTAGAATAAATTAATAACTACAGTATGAAGGCAAATCACTGTCAAAATCTGAGAGCGCAAATGAGATCCATGCGTGCACGAAAATCACACAGCCGCGCACGTATTTTACTTTGACGAGCACTTTTACGTAACTCCGCGAGCAGAATTCCGTCTCGCGTGAGCAAAAGTCGCTCGCGAAGCCTAAACCCGCTCGCTCGCGAGTAGTTTTTATTTTTGACAGTAAGTGGGCGGACCCAGTCACCATTGTATCTCCACATCTAATTGGTTACAATCCTCGTCTTTGGTTTATCTCGCGCGAGACGCAATTCTGCTCGCGGAGTGATGTAAAAGTGCTCGTCAAAGTAAAATACGTGCGCGGCTGTTTGATTTTCGCGCGCGCATGGATCTCATTTGCGCGCTCGGACTTTGACAGTGATTTGCCTTCATACTACAGTGTGTTCATAGTGATGGAGGAACAACACTGATGAGGTTCTGACTTCGTACCAGAAGTGGAAGCTGGGTTGAGTTCTCAGTAAAGACGGCCAGTGTTCCTTCAGCTCTGCATCCAGCTCCTGGAAGACAGAGATCAGGTCTCAGCCTCAGATGCATCAGTGTACCTGGTCTCGGGTTCGCCAGGCGAGCTGGTCTGGACCGGGACTCACCTGGACGTCAGATTCAAACATGGGCCAGCACATACAGCAGCACCGAGCCTTCAGAGGCCTGCAGGCAAGAACACACGAGCGTTGACATTAAAGTATTTAATTGTTAGCATTATAATAATTATTAGCTCGTTATTATTAAGACCTGATACTTGATTAAATTGTATCATAAAGTACAAACATCTTAACAATATGAAGATGAAGATGTAATCGTGTACTTACCACAGACCGTGGATGGTCCAGTTGTTGATACTTGGAGGAATGGTGCAGAGAGTTTCTTCATCTAAAGACTGAGGCGACAACGTGAAGGAGGCTCAGTCTGTCCTACATCCTCACTTCCTTCTCTAGTGCCTCCTTTTGTTTCATAACCTCCACTTTTGTCCTTCTGAACTTCCTCTTTTACTTCCTCCTCACCTACTTCACTACCTCCTTTATTTACTTCCTTAACCTCTTCTTTCCTTCTCTACCTCCTTAGTAAAGGTTCACTGGGTACATCCCAAGTCTCTTAATGTCATCCCCGTTTCCCTCACTTGGGTCCTTTCCTTGCGTCCTAGTCCCTCCCACCAGGGATGCATGGAGGAAACCATGCAAGGAGAGAGGAACGAGGAGATATGTTTTAGGAGACATGAGACGTCCTTTCCTCAGTAGCGTCACATGAAGCAACGTCTGTTTCTGATGACGGAGGATCAGCTGATCACAACTGATCAGCTGTCAGTCGGCTTTAACAGCTGGAGAGACTTTAGATAAGTTAGTGTGTGTTCACATGATCACTGTACTTAATAACAGTAACTAATAACACTAATAACTCATAAAGACACACAGTAATCACCACTGTACTTAATAACAGTAACTAATAA